GCACGCTGCCGTGTGGACGCTGCGTTAGACAATGGGAGCCAACAACAACCAGACAAAGGCCGTGTTTTGCGAATGGTAGCTGTGGGAACATTAGCTCCGATGTGTGAAAACAGCATACAGATAAAAGAGGCGGGAAAAGTTGTTAAAGATACATTTTACTGTATTCATCCAAAAGGAATAGAAGTAGGCTAAAGGTTAATCAATAGTGAATGTAAGCATGTACAAAATGTTGCTGTGAGGTGCCAATTTAATTAAGAATTAGTGAGGCGGTAAAGATTTTGAGACTCAGTTTGGACTCTTTGAAGCCGCGGGCAGAAACATCAGTTGGGGTCAAGGAGGGAAAGTGTCTCACCTCCCCTGCCAACTCCCTCAAAAGTACTCTTTGTTCTGTCAACTTCCATTTTCAACACACGTGCTCTCCCACTGCTTCCATAAGGCAGCTCCAATCTGTCGCTGTTGGCAGCAGGCGGCAGTTCACCATCCTCCTCTCGGTGACTTTAGTTTTTGCACATGAGTTCTGTTGTCTGTGGCTTTGTTGGCGAGGAAAGTCGTTCTGCATGAGCGATAAACAGAACGATGACGATTGGAAAGAAGTCAGCTTGGTTTAGATGAGTAAGTGCCGAGGGATTTAACTCAACAAAAGGGAAAAAAGAGGCTCCAGCACAGGATTTAAACACAGAGTTATAGATTTCTGTGATAGGAGTTGGGTATTTGGTGCATTTTGTGGTGGACAGGATGTAATGTGTGACAGAAGCAGAGTTAGAAGAAAAAGTACTAATACCTACTGTAAATATTTCTTAGTTTTTTTTTCCTCTTTTATTTTGAATAGCATGTTCTCCTTGTTTTACTTCCTGTCTTTTTCGTTTTCCCGCCTGTGTGATTGTCCCTTGAGGATATATTCCTGTCTTCCCCTGTGGTCTTGTCAGTTTGGCGTCAATGTTACCCTGGTTCGGTTCAGTCTGTGACAGTTCCTGGTTTCGTGTCTGAATTCTGGATTTCCCCCCTCCTGTGAACTCAAAGTCTTCTTGCTTTTTATACCTTCATACCTGCCTCCCCTCTTTGATTCTACATTTGGGTCCTGATTTCCTCTACCTCGTGTCACTCTGTTTCAAGGTTTAGCCATGAATGGAAAATGTTACATAATTGAAAGTATTCAAAAACAATCATGAAAAGTACTCGATGCAGGGAAATTGCCGGAAGAAAAAGCAGCAATTGACAATAACAGTAATTTACCTGTCAACCGATTAATTGAAAATCGTTTTGAAACTGTTGGGTAGTATGATTTAGATATGTTATCTTCTTTTAATATCTTATGTCTGTAGAAATCCTTATTCATATAACATAATTAAGGATTTCAGATATATGTAGAAAAGTTCAAATCTGAATTTAGTTTTTTTAGATGATATTTTAGTATTCTGAGGCATGAAGTGTAAAAACTTTTGTCAGGACTGGCCCAGGAGAGGCAGAAAGTGCTGTGTAGTCCTATCAATAGATGACTGCTTTGCGTCATTCCATCACATTATGGAAGGTGTAAACTGCCAAAGGCCCAGTTTTTTATTTACAGATCAAACTCTATGCTGTCCCAAATAAGTAGCTTTCCCCAGGCACCTGACACCGATTCCATTGATCTGGGGCTTGTCTTCAATGTATCAACCAGAGGATCAGGATATTACTCTCCAAAAACATAAGGGATACCATTTTCAAGCATGTGTATTCTCTACGTGCTTGTGACTCTTTAATTTAAAGGTCTATTTGGAGTTAGTGCTCTGGCTTTTGCCATTCTACTTGTTAGATGTGCACGTGTGTGGAGAAGAATGGGAGCCTCCCCACCCACACACTCTACAAAGCGTGAGACCAGAATATAATGCCTGTGATCAATTCTGCTTAGCTCTAGGTGTTTCGGTGTGTTGTTAGAATATTAAAGGTCCTTTATACATACTTTCATAGCCTTAATGTGGTATATTAGTATGTAGTTTAATCTGAAATGTTATCACTGTCTTACATTTTAACTCCCAGACTCTTTCAACTATTTACCGTCTTAACAATGTTTATATTTAATATCGTTACTTTCATTATTGTCAGAGTTGTCATTTATTTGTTTATTTTGTAATTATTCAATTTAACTATTTTCAATTATAATTTATATATATTTTGTAGGTTTAATTCATTATATTCTTATTGAACTTATTTTTTGTATATTTTGTATTTGATATATTTCCTCCTATAATTTAATTGTTGTTGTATTTTTCTATAGTTTTATAATAGTTATATATTTGCTTATTTTCTACAACTAAATTATTGTGTTTATGAATGCCAATATTCCATCATACAAAAAAAAAAGTGACTTTTAAAAAAACAACATATTGTGGAAATCCCTTTGTTTCTGTTGTTTGCCAATACATAGAACACTTTCTGGTTGAAAATTAACTGATTGTTTTAAGATTATTGGAAATATTCAAGTAATTTAAACTTGTACTTAAGTACAGTACTTGAGTACAGTTACTTTCTAATATGTCCTACTGGATATGGGTAAAGAGGGACAGGCGGAGGCTAAATTAGCTGGTACTGATTATGTTTGCACACACAGGAAGTCTTCTGTATCACTGCTGCATTAATGTCACAGCGATTCCTAAAATAAAAACTGATCAGATAATCTGATTTTCCAAGATTGATTTTAGGCCTCTCCCAATCAGACATTCATTCCACTGAATAGATTAATTTATGACTCAATCCAGAGTGTCATCTTGTTTCATTCAGAGTTCAGATAAAGCAGCAGTCACCAGGTGGAGTCAGAGAGCAGAGGAGGAAGTGAAGGATAATGTCCTGCTTCCTGTCCCTGCAGGATGAGCTCATGTTCTTACAGTACCTATGTCCCATAGATAGTGATGTACACGAGATATTCAAGGAACAATACACTAAAGGACAGAGGAAGATAAAAGACAAACTTAAACAAAGAAATAGGTGACAAAGTATGCCAGCAGGAAAATCAGCTCAAATAGAGAAAGAGCTTAAAGTAATCATGTATTTATATGTTCCACCATAGACAGATCGTACTTGCTGAATGTCATTTAGTTCATGTTAAAAACTGTGTTCATATTTAATAGCATCTCAAGTTAGGTTCTCAGATGACCCATATGCATTTTAAATTGAATCCTGGCTTTGAATGAATGTCCAGTAATGTCACAGTTTTGATCTTCACTGCACAACCCAGAACATGCTCCATGTTGCATTAGAATTGCAGATTCTTCCCATGATGTTCAGTCCAGAATTATTTTTGGACATCATTATATGTCCAATATCTGCATGTCAAGCCCAATTTTGAACATGAATTTTCAATTATGAATTCTCAAGACACTTACAAACACACTTAATACATTTGAAAGTTCTGACTTTTAACATATTTATACCACATGTATCTGGACAAATCTGTAATGTCTTCAACTGACGTCAAATGTATGTATCAGTCCATCCTGCCTTTGTTTACAGTAGAGCTGTGCCATTAAGTTGCAGTCATTTGCTGTAATGAGGCTGAATCCGTTGACCTTGGACAGTATGCACTTTATTGTTTGTGTGTGTAGACGGGGTGTAAATGAAATGGAGGGAATGGCTGCATTCATCTGAAGTGAGGCTGTTAACCATCTTTTTGCCTTGCTACTATTTTAGGCACTCGCTCTCTACCACTGCTGCACCTTGGCTAGCTGTAGCATTCTGCTTTTTTCACTGGCAGAAAGAGTCCTGTGAGTCTGCCTACAAAGAGAGGATTTACTGTAAAGTATATTTGTTAGTATTTATTATCATTCAACATGTCAAACAGCCTTAGTTGGTATTTATATTATTTAGGACACAAAAGAACAGTCTGCCAAAAGAAAGAGAAATTACGCGTTACTTGTTAGGCGCTTTTATCTAAAGCGACTTACATACTGTGGGCAATCCCAACAGGAGCAGTTTGGGGTGAAGTGTCTCGGGGACACAACGACATGCTGACTACAGTGGGGTTTGAACCTGTGACCGCCCGATCCAAACACCAAAGCACTATCCACTGTGCCACACGCCTCCCTGACATTCCATTGACATCTAGTTATAGATTTAAATGGATACCGCTTTAAATAATATATATTTTCAATACTTTCAACAAATCCTCCAAAGCTTCCTGTTGCTCTAAATTACTAATATCTTTGCACTGATATACTTAAATGCAGAGTGAGGTTAATGTACTTTTTGTGTATTTTCAATTTTATTATATGGTGTACTTCTATTCCATTATATTTCAGAGACAAAAATGTATCTTTTTACCCCTCTTTATTTCAGCTTTAGTTACTTCATAGATTACAATTTTCATCCTCCATGTCCATTTTTTTTTTTGGGTGGAGAAAATTCCCTTACTTACTTAGAAAACCCTGTAAGGTGGAAAATGCACCATCACAAAGCTGACAAAAAGGGCAATTGTTTTAGCTCATACAAGTTGTCTTTTCAGAGATAGATGTAGAGATTCATTCTACATAATATGAATCCATAAAATCATATAATCATCATATCATATAGTAAAACTCTGACCAGGAGCATTTTACTGAAAAATGACTCTTATGTACATTTAGTTGATAATACGTATAAACTGTTACCTGTAGTGGAGTATTTTCACAGTTTGATATCAGTACTTTTACTGAAGTATAGAAACTGAATACTTCTTCTACCGCTATATTTGTGACCTTTTTTTGTAAGCTGAGAGAGGGTAAACACATTTGTTTGGTCTTTACTCTTTACATTGAAAGTATTGAACATTTAATAAAATGAAGAAATGTGATGGGCAGCAACATGGCTGGTAATGGGTAGCCTTATCCTTTAATGTTGGTATGTTTGAAATGATTGTACAATGAATGTATTAAGAGAAAATTGTAGCACGTCTTAAAAGTGAATGAGTGCCTCAGAGATTCTGGAATATTCTGTGTGTATCTGGCATCACTAGTGGTAACAGATCCTCCGTTCTCTCATTCACAGGTATGAAGAATAGGGGGCAGTTGGAGGTGTCCCATTGGCATGTTTGTCCTCTGGCCGTTCAGCCTGTGTGTCTCTGCTCTGCACACAGACGCTCTAGGGAGAAGAAAGACCGTCTAAAAATAAACTGACAAGCACCACCAGCAGAAAAACAAACTGACGAATACAACAAGAGGACAAAGAGGAACTTCCCATTGTTTCTGTCTCTTTCACCCTGTCTGAGACTTTCTCTCTCGCCACTCAGTTTCTGTGTCTGTGTCCTCATTTTGGCTAGAGAGGAGGTCATGTCCCAGTCTGGAAAAGTACTTAATTTGTATGTAGAGGTGAGGTCTGCCCCAGATCAGGCAGGAGGGAAGGAAGGGATTGCTCAGGGGCATTCGGTTCAGGACAGTCCAAATGAGCTCCTGTCTCAGCTATCAAGCCAGACCTCCGTCACTAAGACCTCCACAGCTCAGCGTCTCCTTCAAGACTGCAAACATAACCAGTCTCCTTATAGAAACGTCCAGCTCCAGCAAGCCAGCAGCTCCCCTACAGTGTCCAAGCGTTGGAGTGCACCGTGTGATGAAGCGTCTGCCTTTCGCTCGCCACAAATGATGTCCTCTTCGGGAAAGGTTAACGCCCCTCACACTCCTCCCAACTGCCAGAGGTTCAACGAGGGGAAGGTCAGTGATGGTACGCGCTCTGTGGTTACCTTTAGTTACATTGAGAAGTCCAACGTGAACAGTCCATGCAAAAGAGGTACTATAGAGGAAAGATCCACCCCTTCTCACTTTCGTAAAAGACTCAGCGACCCAATTTGGTTTGGGAGTCCCAATTCATCGTGCAGCTCCAGTCCCAAGCAGACTTTCCGATCTCCAGGAAGTCACCAGCAGACGTTCTCTCCTGGACTCCGCCAATCAGCTTTGGATCCCATCGGTAGGGCAGCTACCCAGAGGGCTGTGGAGGAGTTTGGCTCCCCTCTGTTGAGGATTAAGCTGGCTCATGCACTTGAGCAGGCCGCATCGTCACGCTATAACCAACAGCCGCGCTGTCAGTCCTGGGCTGGGTCTCCTGTCCAGCGTCAGAACATGGGTGTCCTCAAAGACCACTTCACGGAGAGGAGCCAGGCTGTTTGTGGGCTGCCTCGGAGCCCTGCGTCAGACCAGCTATCCTCCAAGTCCAGGCAGTCATCTAACGTGAAGCCTGAGTCTTTCGGTGAGTCCCAGAACCCTCTTCACTGGTCTGCAGAGGACAGAACTGTAGTCCGAAGTCCAGCCACGAAAATAAATGTCCACCGATCTTGCAACAGAAGCACTTCGCCGCAGGCAGCAATCCTCCAACTTGGCAATAATGTAGTTGAGGGCTTGAATCAATTAAGTGACAGTAAACCCTCCTCTCCGGCTCATAGCCCTGAGGTAGCCCGGAGGCTAACAGAGGAGGCTACCAAAGTATCTTCTATTTTCACAGAGGCACGAAAGTCCTCATTGCACAACGCTTTAGGAGAGCCCGTTGGAGAACTTCAACATTCAGCACCAAATGCACAACTCAAACAAACGCTTAAGATGAACATCCCTTTAAATGACCAACAAACACCAGCAACTGACAACACAGACTCTCACCAGCCGGAAAACTCTCTCTCTCAATCTATCTTGCACTCGCACGAAACCAACTCCAGTACTAATCATCAAACACACCAGGAGGACTTCATTCAGAAGTCCCACCCTCAGAGCTCGATTTTAAGTTCCCCTGCCATACCTTCGCGAGTTTTACGTCCTTCTCATCCTCCAACTGAGTTCAGCTCTCCCATAAGGGACCCCAGGCTATTCCAAGCAGAACTCCGAGCACCGGATACCCCCACCCTACATCGCCGGCAGCTCCCGAGGTACACCGGAGACTCCTGGTCCCCTAGCTTCGATAAGAGAGGAGACCTGAGCTGTTTCGACAGAGGGGACTGCACTGAGCTCGCTAGGAGGCTATTCATCAATCAGAGTGTTGAGGAGGCACCAGTTAGCTGGACGTCCAGGCAACAGTGGGGGAATGAGGTGGAGAACAGCCCGATGCCGAGCCCTGTGGCTGGTCTAGGGTGCATCGATGACCAAACTCCTGATTGTCCATCTGGTCACCATCGCAGACCGCTCAGTCCGACAGCACAGCAGAAACGAGCAGAGCAGAGGAGGAGAGAGATCCTGCTTCTGGGCCCTGTAGCGTTGGACTCTCCAGAGGAGGATGAGGGTTGTGATGAGGAGGGACAGGGCAATGAGATGGAGGGATTTGAGGCTGAGCAGCAGGGGGTAGGGGAGGCTCCAGAGGCAGAGCAGAACGGAGCCATGGGAGGTTCGTCCTCGCGGAGCTCCAGCGGGGTGACAGGAAGCCTGGGAGACAGAGACTGTGTGTCCCCTGAGTCTAGTCAGTCCAGTCACCAGAGCAACGAGACCGGGGCCGCCACCTCAGGAATACAGGTGGGCATTGGGTTAACAACAACACTTCAAATAACAACCTTTTCTTAGCCTATAACTGTCAACTTTTAACAACATTTGAACATGCTTGAGTTAAGGAGAGACACTTCAGGAACATTTCTTTTGACGTATATGTCAATTTTGAAAGTCGTTGAAAAAGACATCGACAGTATATATTTAGGGGCTTTTTTACTACAACATTTGACAACTGTAGATTCCTCACAGATTCACCAAAATGTAGCTTTTAGATAATGCGGTATATGGCTATATACAATATAAGAATTCAGACAACTTGTATGCTAAATAAAATAAATGTCTTAACAAGAGTAATCTACAATGAAATGTTAAGGTGATATCTATTAATTAGGTATTTTTGCCCTATTCAATTGAAATGCCTTGCAAAATGTATGGCATTTTACCTTTAGTGCCTTTCCCTACAACATTGATACAAATCTCATGTCTGTGCTGTAAGTATAGAGCTGGAGTGCTGGAGACAGGCAGCTTTTAGCCTAGCTTAGAATTAAGACAGGAAGTACAAGGGACTCTCCCCAAACTTAAAAAATCTATCTACATGTACAAACACCTTAACGGCCCCTTATGTAGAATCTTGTATTCTCCTTTGTTCAATACCAACAAAATCAGTTTTCCTTAATAGCATCTGACTGCAGCTTAACTTTTTCCGACATGAGGGGGATACTTTTCATCTAAATGTGCAAGAAAGTGATTAACTGTATCTCTGTAACTATCCCTTTAATGCTGCACAGAGCTAGTCTCTCACGTGTCTGTATTTGTCTTTCAGACGGACAGTGGCTGTGCATTGCCTGTGCCCTCGCTCCATTGTCAAAGGATCGCTCGTGCCAAGTGGGAGTTTTTATTTGGGACCCCTGCTGAGGAGGCTGCTAGTAGGGGAGAGAAAAGTGAGAGCATGTCCAACTCAATTTCATCTAGTTAATGCACTTTCATGATGGTTAAAATAGTCCCTAACAAATGCACTACTTCCTCCTCTTTTAGCAATATTTGCTAAAAACTTAAAAGACCAGCTGTTTGAGGAAATAGAGAACCTCGTAAAAAAATAAAAGTCCATACTACAGAGGAATTCTTTTTAATTAATTTCTTACATGTAAATCCTAACAGAAATAATGTAAAAATGTAAATGAATAGATGAGATCAACAATTAAATCCTCAAAATCTTCTTCTTTTCTGTGACCTGCTAAGCTGCTAGAGAAACTGCTCCACAGATTGTCGCTTATCAGTTCAAATTCCCTTCTGCACTCTGTGTCTCGTGTTAGGAAAGATATGATTTTACTGTAAATTAAAGACCACAAGAATAACATACATTTGTATAGGTAAAAACTGCCAGCGATGTCTTATTGAAACATCTATCTTAGCCCATTTATTTGAGCACTAATTCATTGGCATTTCCCTTCTGCACACTCTCAGAGGTCTGTTTCAGAAAGGTTTCTGGTATTGTAAAAACACTTGAATGAGCTGAATAAATCCTGCTTGTGAAGTGACTCATATCTCCGCTGAAATGTCGAAGAAATGCAGAGGAGTTTTAACCAGTCAGCTGTCACCATGCCAAAACAAATAAAGATACTGAATCCGAAGAGACATTTAGTCATCCATCTTTCAGTACCTTTGGATACTTTTTGATTTTGGTCTTTACCAAAGACAGTATTGAGGTTTCATTCTCATTTTTAATCATGATAAGATCTAAATATGTTTCGCATGCAGTTAAAACAGGGAGTTATCATTCAAGCATTGAGGTTGATATTTAACTCTATCCATCTGCAGATTCTCTGGAAGCCTCCACAGCTCCTCCCAGTGGTAACTCCAGCGAGTCTCCCACACCAACTCCCCCTTCCTCCCTCCCTCTGCTTTCTGCCAATCACAATGTACAACAAGTTGAGGTAGAGCTGGTGACCCCTCCTCCAGCTGTCATCGGGACTTCCCCCAAAACTGGCATTATTCGCCGGACCTTAAAGTACTCAGAAACTGACCTTGATGCAGTTCCCCTTCGCTGCTACCGAGAGACGGACATAGACGAGGTGCTGCTGGCGGAGCTGGACGACGCCGACTCTGCGTTTGGGAGTAACCGCAGCGTCCAGGGCATCTCGGGTACAGGCAGCAGCCCACTGGGGGGTCTGACTTATGGTAGGACAGATGGGGAGGTCACAGAGAAGAGAAGGGGAGAGGGTGAGGAGGATGAGGAAGAAGAGGAGGAGGAGGAGGAGGAGGAGGAGGAAGAAGAAGACGAGGAAGAAATGGTGAGCTGGGCCAGTGTGAGGATGCAAGGAGACAACAGGAAGCAGCAGCATGCAGCTCAGGAGGACCCAGAGGTGTTTGGTCACATTATGAAGAGGTGAACATGAAACTCACTCACAGGCATACACAAAGCTGCAAACACACACATGTTCACAAACACTATAGTGAAGCAGGATTTTCCCCTTAACTGTATTTTGATCTGAATTTGATCTCACTGGTTGAAAACCTATGTTTCAAGTAGATTGTAAACAGATATGTCTAACAATACAGTACACAGACAGACACATGCTGTACTGTAGGTAGTTTTCTGTGATGTGTTGAAGTGGAGATTGAAGGAGGTACTTATCTGTAGTCAATGTATTACATGCAGTAGTTACTGTTTGGAACACAGTATGGACAAATAAATAGGAGTATCAACAAGGAAGCAAAGCAGCTGAAAAACCTATTTTGTTTACATAAAAAAAGCCCACCAAACCAAACCTATAGCAGTTTAAGAGAGCAGTAGTTGCTGTTTTACTTCTGCCTTGATCTGTTAGCAGTTGGTGTGTTATTTTGTGACTTTGGTTGGTTTAGGTTCACCAAAGTGAATCAATTACACAAACAAAACAACCAATCAATTAAGCGGTAGACCAGCAACTCAGTGTTCTGGGTAAAATGTGTGTTTTTTCAATGCAGTCTTGTGGCTTTGGGCAAAGCATAGATAACAGCTTCAGTTTCCTGTCGGAAGTGCTGTCTGGAAGCAAGGTAAAGCAGTAACAATTGTAAAGATAGCAAGGTATATGGATAAGTACCTCATACAATCCTACTTAAAAAACATTCAAACTATTGCTTCAAAAGTTGGAGTTCCTCTTTTTTTTAGATGTGTCCTTGCACATTTAATCTTTTCTTTATAAACACAGCTGTGTTGTTGCAGCGTTCCTAAAACCTCCCTCTCTGTCCAGACCAATGGCAACATTTTTTGACAACCACCACCCGGCCCTGAAATCCCCCATCTTGGTCTCCGGCCCTCGCTGTGCTGCAGAGGACACCTTCAGCCGCCACTTTGAGAGCATCATGGAGTCTCACCGAGCCAAAGGCACCTCGTACAACAGCCTGGATAGCGAGGAGCTGCTTACCTCGAGCACCCAAACCGTCCTGACCTTTGACCTGCCCACATTAACCCCTGCCATCCACGGTCCGGTCTGCCAGAGCACCAGGCAGATCGTCCAGCTCAGCTTCGCCCCACTGGCACACGATGAGAGGCCCAGTATCTCCGATTCAATCTTTACCATGACTGGGGACTCGGACGCCACCAGAGCCCCGTCCAGCGAGAGGCTGAGCAGCGGTTCGGACGACACGCCACCCAAAGGACGAGGGTATTCACAGCTGGGGAGCAGCTGGTACAGCAACCCTTCTTTCTCATTACCAAGGTGAGTTCACAACAAGTCAATATTAAAGGGATAAAATGATTACTTAATTGGCAGGAAAATTACTGGCAACTATTTTATTTCATGATTGGTTAATTTTTTTGGTTTAGTAATGATTATAGACTAAATGATAAATGGATAATGGAAATATCTGTTTGTTGGAGACCTATGTGTAGTAATAGGCGCTTTTCACACCAGTACATCTTGCTCAACGCATAATTGTATTTGGGTGATCTACCATCCCCAATGTATATGCCTACATGCTCTGTTTAGTGGCAAGTCTTCAGTGATTCACTAAGTATCTGAGAGAGTGTAAATATGGGTCAAGTTTGTTATCGCATAGTGTAGCGACCCTGTATAGGAGGCTGAGGGTGTCACTCAGGCATCCCCCGTCTCTTGGCCAATCACAGAGCTGCACAGGATGCTGGTCTAGGTGCGGGCCTGTGGTTGGGGGAGCGGACGGGGGAGGGCGGGGAGGTTGTGACGTAGACACTGGTATATATAGGTGTGTGTGTGGGAGTTATAGTTGTGTAATGTGGAAACCCCAAGCTGTACCTGTACCTGTACCTGTACCTGTATTCCTCTATGCTAATAAGAGTTATTAAAGCCTAATAACTTGCAGCCGGTTTCCGACTCCCTCTGTGAACGTTACAATATATTTATCAGTTTCCTGTTTATTCCTTCACTCCACTGAAATAAGGCCAGAGAGACATATTTAATGATATGGCTATATAGTTTTCATCATCTGTCGATTATCTGCACAACCCTTTGCGTTTTGTTCTTATATTTATTATATGCATATAAAATAAATAACATACACCAACAGCAAATAAACCCATTATCTCTTAAACATGTAGCCCTCAAGTTATCAGTTTATTAAATTAAGCTAAAAAAAAAACGTATTGAATGTTAAATAGTGCACCTTTGTAATTGTTACAAAGGACTGCATTCAGCAGCATTCTCTTCCATGAAAGGCAGAGAACAGCATCAGATTAAGCAGGAATAGGTTTACAGTTAAATTACAACCACATGTGCACTGCGTCACATGTGCAGCCCAAACAACTGCACTGTCTGAGCCAAAGGACTTCATGCTGTGTCATGTACGTTTTTATTATATAACAAGAGTGAATATATATATAGTTTTTATATATTTCAGGATATTTAAATTGACAGAGCCTAAAGCATAGTAACATTACACAGTTTGAAGTGAAACAGTCCACACCTTTTGCTAGTCTTTGCTAGCTAGCGTTAGCTGTTACCACATGGGATGTAGCCTTGATTAGCATGCTAATTAGTTATAATTATTTTATTTCAATGTATTCCTAATTGTAAAACATATTTTTTATATATGAATACTTCAATTTACACCCTAAGTGTGTACCTAGCCTACATCGGCAAAGTAGCATTAGCTTTGACATTTGTTAACTTGCAAGCACCAAACTCACGTTGTGTAGTATTTCACACATTTCGACAAATTAATGCATTATGTCTCCTTATGACTTTGTATGAAAGGGTGAGCTTTGAGTATGACATGGTAAATACAGCCTGGGCATATAACCCCAATATTTCTATTTTATTTTCAGTAATTCCTATAAATTATCGATAAATTCCAGTTCATTCCAGGTAAATGTTCACCTTGAACGCTCCTGAGATTGGCAACATGAATGCACATCATAATCAGGTGTTGATGCTAGGGATTGTAACACTGTTTTTACTGCCTCAATTTGATGTCAGTTCCAGTAGTTGGACTGTTGTCAGTATGCAGATGAATGAACTTGTGTTGTCCCCCTTGTGCAGAGCAGTGCTGCAGTGCTATTTTGGAGCTGAGGAGCTTTAGAGTAAACATGGCTAGATTCTGTGTGTGTGTGTGTGTGTGTGTGTGTGTGTGTGTGTGTGTGTGTGTGTGTGTGTGTGTGTGTGTGTGTGTGTGTGTGACAGAGGCAGATGGTGAGCAGTGAGGGACTCACCTTGACTGTAGAGTCCCAAATACTTTTTTCCCTACAGCATCCCACTGCCATTCATGACACTTAATCTTGTGTCTAGAATCCTTTGTCTTCACGTTGCATACATAATATTCGAGCTCTTTTTAAGCATCTAACATCTGGCTTCCTGCAAAATATCAGGGACAACAGTCGGCTATTGTGTGAAAGTGAAATGCTAAGGATATTATGTGTGATGGAGAATGTCACCCTAACTGAATGTGACAGCACTGCAGAGGCAGTCACTGCACCTGGTCTCACCTCACTGCCTTCACCACTAGATGGCGTTAAAGGGCAGGAATCATGGCGCTCTTCATAATGTTATGAAATGAAGGCGTGTAACTGAGCAGCATTAGCAAAGGTATGTCTTGTTTGTTTGTGTCGATATAAGTCTAAAGATGAATGCACAAATACTGTATGAAAGCTAAAAACAGTGTGTGTGGCCAAACGTGTTTGATTCTGAGCTATAAGTAGAACAATTTGCTAAGTAAATGCCTAATTTTCAGTGTTTATAGACCAGAAACCCCAGTGCAAAGGAAAATCGTATTTTATTAAAATAACCACCCAACACTACTAAATAGTTTGGCATTATTCGTTTTTTATTAGTATACAAACATGTTTCAAAAAGTATATCTATATCCTTCAGTCTAAAATGGTATATATTTAAATGAATTAAATAATCACAATATCTAATATATGGTTGAATCATCTACTTAAAATATTCAGGGGCTTATCTTGTCATTTTACAACACAGTCTCAAAACAAAGTGTGATGTAGTTGATTTATGCTACACAAAAAAACAGGACAAAACCAATCAATTTCTGTATTGTTTTTTCTTAAATTGCATCAGTAGGAATAAACTGAATAATATATATTCAAATATTAGAATATTTTGTGTAAATTAAATGCTAATTTTGTGAGGAATAAAGATGTCTGAATCTAAAATGTGTTCATAAGTTTTCAGGCAGATATATTATGAATGTATACTTTTTTGCAACGTATACAGATGTATTAGAAATACGCTGAAGCCTTATTCTAGTTATTTCACTGCAGGCCATTTACAAATGGGCTACAGTTGGATTACAGTCCATAGTCTGGCCACCCGTGGTTTAGCATGTTCATTTTGCTCCCTCTTTTCTTGCCATTGAGTGACTAGGGCAGGGGTCTGCAACCTTTTTGACCAAAAGAGCCATTTTGCCCCCTTTTCCAACAATTTGTTTTGTCTGGAGCCGCAAAGCATATTTGATAGCTTATATCGTGTCACATTATCACCTCAAAATACAAGATACGAAACATTTTCAACTGTGCAACAAAATATAAATAGTCCTACAAATATTTGTATTTTGTTTCCTTCTTATTTATGTCTAAGCTCAAGGGAGCCAGAGCAGAGGGCTTGGGTTGCCGACCCCTGGACTAGGGATATAAACTTGTAAATGTTCTCCCAACTTCCTGATAGAACTATTTATATGAGAACAGAATCACACCGGACTAGCGCAGATAAATATTTGTTTTACCACCAATCTTATCGTGCTTTTATAACAAGCCTGACTCTGGCAGCCCTGGAGCTGTGGAATCCAGGAGCGAGACAAATATTTCTGGAGTCCATACTTTGATAAAAGTTGGAATTTCACTCCCCTCCCGTCCTCCCCCTCCTCCTCCTTTCCTCACATCTCCCTTTTCAGATAGTCTGCACCATTAGACAGAGGCTCATTGTGCAGAGCCATCCAGTGGACAGAATTAAGCGGGGGATACCGTTAAAGCAAGAATTCTCTCAGGACCTCTTGGTTCTAAATGAGACAATAAAAACAGGTGGCTGAGCCTAAACTCCATTGCTGGCCTAATCTTATGATGGTGCACACACTCCTCAGGCCTTGATGAAGCGTATGCTGTAAAAAGATTAGACAATGGACTCATGTGTTAACAAAAGGCCACCAACTCTCTCCCCTGGGCAGTTATTGTTGTACAGTAGGAAACAGTTTAAGGCACACACCCAGTGGATATATCACTTCATACCTGGCACATCATATATCTTTGTTTCCTACTAGGTGTGCTCAAAGCTCACACCAGAAACAAGGTGAACCAGAATCTGTACAACACACAGAGGATGGATTTACTGATTGTGTGTAATCGGAGATGCAGAGAGCGAGAGAGAGGAATGAATGGAGGGTAGAAAAGAAAAGGGAGGGGGATTTTTAGGCAACAGACAAGCCAAGTTTCATGCCATGCTTAGAATCCAAGGTCAGCAGGGGACAGTGAGAGTTTACACAGTGGAACAGGGAGGGAGAAAGAGAGGGAGGAGTGAAAAGTGGGAACAACAGCAAACAGACTCAGAGGGAAAAAGACAGAGAAGGAGAGGCATTGCAGGACAAAAAGAAGTTTTACTTTGGAGAGGAAGGAATCCTGCCGTGAGGATCAAATGACAGCAAACAAAGAGGGAGTGAGAAAGTGGAGGAAAACATGAAGTCCCTTTTTTGAGTGGAAACCAAGCAGAGGAATGTTAAAGTCTGCAGACCCCACGGGAGAGACTACAGGTGCTCCTCTGCCACAGTGATGCGTTCAGGTTACAAGGCCGGGAGGCGGCGAGGAGGGGTTGTCCGGGCTAGCAGTCAGAGAAGAGGTGGTGTTCAGGGCACAGCAATGAGGACGCCGTCTGTCTTCTGCTGTAAGGGTTCAGCTGCAGTCGGAGAGGAGAGGTATTTGTCGATTAGGCGGTCTTTCCACAGGTAGGTCCCCACCCAGGAACCTGTCTCGCATGTCTTCGCACGTATGTCAGAGGATTTGATTATGAAATTGTGCCTGGGTGTCAGGAGCTGTGTAGTCTCTATTTGCAAGCTGTTCACCTCGATTTTAAAACAGTATAGATCATCTCCCATAAAAATGTTTGCAAATTTGTAGCTATGGTAATGTTGCTTATTCCTCTAGTCTTGATATAGTATTGGACCTAGTCATTGTGATGTTGGCCATTTGTTTGGTTTGTCACCTTGGTTTTTTGGAACTAGAGGCTATGTGAGAGAGTTGAGCTAA